ACATCACCCTGTTTCTTTAATGGTTCTTAGTGGTCCAAAAATAAATTATAAGATCTCAGTATCTTTAATCCAAACTTAGCTGAAATTCTAGTTTAAACTGGAAATAGATAAAAGTTCATTTTTAATGTTTATTTATTTATTTTGAGAGAGAGAGAGAGAGAGAGAGAGAGAGAGAGAGAGAGAGAGATGGGGAGGAGCAGAGAGAGAGAGGGAGAGAGAGAATCGCAAGCAGGTTTCACACTGTCAGCACAGAGCCCCACATGGGGGCTCTCTCTCTCTCACCAACCAAGAGATCATGACCTGAGCTGAAATCGAGAGTCTGTTGCACAACAGACTGAGCCACCAGGTGCCTCAAATAGTAGTTAATTTTTTAAAACATCTTGACAGAAACTGGGAGGAGAAGCTATCAAGATTCGATCTCAAGGGGCACCTGGGTGGAGAAGCAGAGGCCCAGCTCTCTGAGGAGATCACGTGGAACCTGAGAACCAAATTAGGAAGAACCGACCTTGAGATTTCTGGGGAGCACTGTGGAAATGAGAAACAGAGCAAAAGCCCTCCGGCAGCCGTGACCTTGGAGATCTGAGGTTCTCAATGGAGGCCACTGTGGTAGGAGATTCATCAGCAAAAGTGAGAGTGGCTGGAGTTGGAGAAATTTCCACCAAATGCAGGGTCTTCTCCGTGAGTCTTTCTTCCTCACCTTGACGGTTTCCTCCAGAAACGTACAACCCCTGCAATTATACTCTTTGTTATTTAATGACTAGTTTGTGACCTGCTGCCTCCATGCCCTATGACAGCAGGACTGTTGTCTGCCCCGTTCACCACCATGCCCATCCCCAGAGCCTAATCCAGTCCCGGCATACAGCAGTTGCTCAATAATTATTCTCTGAATGAAGAAATGGGATGAGAGCCTGTTGTGCCTGTGTTTCTCATTTGTTTAGATGCGGAGGGTTTTGAAGGGGTTCCTTCAAGCAGCCTTGGTTTGAAAAAGATGGATGTAAGCCTGCAGCTGTGAGCAGGGGCCTCAGCAAGACACTTGTGTGAGTGTCCCTTTGGGGGTGTCACTGGGGCCGATGACTGGCCAACAAGGCATGGGAACCTCTCCAGGTGGGCAGACAACAGAGCGAGCTGAGTCTGGGGCGTCTTGGGGAAGGTCAGCCCCAAGCCCTGGCTGCCGAGAGGTCCCCTGTGCCACTAGTCACCGCGCTCTGAGATCACAGAGGTCTTCCCCAAGGTAGGCAGCCCTCAGGTGGAAAGGTTTGCGCTGATTATCTATTCAGCAGGGACAATGGCAAAGGACAGGTAGAATGTGCTGGTCAGTTAAGCCATAAAGAGGAGGCCCAAGAAAGAAAATTATGCTAAATACTCAACACTGCTGTGTTTCCACACAGGAGCGAGTCTTTTACGGATTCTTGGTCTCTGTGTTCTTCTGTGGTAAATAAGACCGTGGACAGATTTTGTAAAAGTCTCTTTCCACGTGAGCATTCTAGAACTGAAGAGAAGTAGCCTGAATGGAAGTCTGGTATGTTGAAGAGCTGACTTACCTGCTTTCAGTACTGGTAAGGTATTGGGGTTTAATGGTCTCTGGGATGTTGGTGCTCATGGCAAAGAGAGGGGCAGGAGAAAGGGGCCCCAAGTCCAGCCCGATGTGCTACAAAGAGGCAACAGCGTGGTCTGCTTTATTGGTTTCAATTCTAGAGATTTGTGGACAAATGGAGGACACACACTAGGGTCTAACCGATACAAGGGGGTGAATCTGATGAAACTGGCACCTTTTTTCTGCTTTTCAAGATAAAGAAAGTGTTACTGTGGTAGGGATTCGACATATTTTGAGAGGGAAAATTCAGCTGCTTCTGACCAGGAAGACTATTTTCTATATATTTAATGTGATCTTCCATTCCCAGATAATGAATTTAAATGACGTATTACACTTCGCTGAGAAAGGAAATCTATTTGCCCGTCAGTGATATACATTCTTGGTATTTGCCAGACAGCTTCTTGTGGACAAATGATAATGGATTGAGACAGGCAAAATCACATTACATAATTCCACCACTTAATTGCAATGAATTTATAGTAGATTAGAATCAAGGAGCACATTAGCAGGAACATTAAATTATGATGCAAGCCCCATTTTACTTCATACTCATATTTTTAAAAACCTCCAGTTGTAGAGATCTCAAAATAACATCAGCCTAGCTGGTTTGGAGATAAATAGAAATAATGAATGTGCCTGTTCTTATTCTTTCCACTTAAATGTGTATTAGATTAAATTTCCATTTGACCTACTCTCTCAATAAATGCATAAATCTAAAGATATCTCCCATGAGAAGCCATTAAGGCGGATTATTTTCTAACGTGAAATGTAGATTTGTGGTAAAGGGACAAGCAGGGAAAGGGCATATTTATGTTTTGTCTTCAGAGGGGCTTATAGATAAATGTGAGAGCTTCCCAGATGAACTTGGGCCTGCCAAGTTCCTGTCCACTAGGATTAAAGCCAGGGCAGAGAGGTCCCACTGAACTCAGTTTTAGCCTGTTTTAGTATTGTTGTCCTACTTGAGGATTACCGTTAGTATTCTTTTTAGTTTCTCATAATAACTGTAATTTAGTGTTCCTTCACAGTGTAACAGCATGGGGTTTATGCATGTGAATACGTGTGTAAACACCCAGCTGAGAGGCTGTGTGTGTGTGTCGGGGCGGGGTGGTGGGGGGGAGGCTGTGCGCCTGAAGTTATGTACACGAGACTGTATGTGTGTGCCTATTTGCGTTTACCATTTATTTAGAAGATTTAGATCTTCTATCCCCAAATCTATGCATTAATGTAAATTTTTGTTTTGAACCACAGACTATACCTCCAAATCCCTTGGTCTTTGCAGAAAATATACAACCCCAAAAAGCAGGTGGGACTCCGCCAATAGGAGGTCCCAGCCTTAGGCTGGCCCTGGTTGGACTCCATTCATTTGTACGCATCCATAGTCAGTGGAGTACAAATTGATTTTTGTTCAGATGCAGTTGTGAAAAATCATAATCAGTCTAACTCGTTGCCCAATGATAATTTAGTTCCAAATACGCAATCCAGTTAAAGACAGCTGTAAGAGCTGGAGAGAAGCCACAGGGAATCCTTCATAAGATGAATAACAAATACCGATATATCTGATTTTTAAAAATATTCTCACAAAATCGTCTCATGGTCTTTGGCCATTCCAGACCAGAAAGACAGAGACAATTATAATTCATTTATTTCAAAGGCTGGTCTTGAGCAATGTAGGCATACGGGTTTTGCGTCACTTTGAAGAAGGAATGATTCTCTTGCCATCCACTGGGCGTCGAGAGAGAGAGGGACTTTGTCCTGCAAGGTTCGAGTTTAGTAGCCCAGATGGAGAGACGTGCAGGCACCTGGCGACAAACAGGTGTCAGAGTAGAAGGATTAAAAGTAACATTTCCGGTTTTGTCGCTGACTAGCTATAGGTAGTGAGGTGAGTCTTTCCCTCAGTTTTATCATCTACTGAATGGAGATAGTTATGCCAATTTTTCTAGAATTTGCATTGATCATCTGAATACCAGCTATCAGCAAGCCAGTCGGAGCATGTGTGCGGTGGGGGGGGGGGGGGGGGGGGGGGGGGGGCGGGGCGCGGGAGATAATGGCCGGGAGAGGGGAGGGGGCCCCCCCCACCCGGGGGGAAGAAAGG